AGCACCAGCTAGGCGTACGCAGCGTCGGCAGGGACCCGTCTCTGAACCGTGTCCTGCCATCTTCCCTGGAGACCAAGGTCCGCACCTTCAGAGACTTTACCCAGAAAGTCTTCCATGTCCACCAACTGACGGAGAGCTCCGTCGCTGCGATGGACGAACTGTGTCTCTTTATGGACTTGTCGTTAGTTCAGGATAAGTCTCTCTGCTCAGAAGCCCTGGAACTCACCGGGTCTTCCCCTTTGATCACCATTTACCTGACGGTTCTGGCTGACGGTACCATGCTGCTTCCTCTGGCACTGACAAGCAGCCAGCTGCCGAAGGAGATCCTGCCAGGGTCCGACTTAGTTCAGGTCAGTCCTGAGGGTCTGTCCATTGAGGACAACTTGGATATCTGGACCAATACGGTTTGGTTACAGCATAGATCCAGTTCAGCTCAGCCCAGTAAATCAATGCTGGTCCTGGACCGGCACCGGGAACACTTGGGGGAGCAGTTTCTGAGCTCCCTCAGCGGATCGTGTAGCCTGCCTGCGGTGATCCCTGGGGGCTGCTCCTTCTGTCTTCAGCCCCTGGAGGTCTGCTTGAAACCTGTTCTGCAGCGCTTCCTGCTGGCCCGCTGGTCCGAGTTCACTGCCAGAAACCCGCCGGAGCTGGAGGAGACAGAACCGGCCCGACTCCAAACCAACGTGATCCAGCAGCTCGTGAACTGGGTGGTCGAAGCCCTGACTCACCTGAACAAGGTCCCCCAGGTCTGGAAGCAGTCCTTCCATCTGTCGGGTCTACTGCCGGCATCTAAAGGGGTCTTTGAGGAAACGGAGGACAAAAGCTGTCAGAAACCAGAGGACATTCAGGTAGACCTCCTCAAGACCCTGACTGAGATCCTCCTGGGTCCTGGGACAACAGAGACTGGTTCACCTGAGCTCCAAGAGCTGGAAGACGAAGACAACTTAAGCATGAGACAACAAGGAGGAGACGAACCGGAGACAACTGAAGGTCAACAGGACACCAAAGATGAAGGGATGGAAGTGGAAGGGACAGAGAAAGAGACTGAGGACAGGAAGGAGGTGGAAGGACAGGAAGTTATGGAGACCGGAGACAAGGACAGGGAAGGAAAGGGTATGGAGGACCAGGAAGAAGACACTAAAGAAGATAGACTAAAGGACCAGCAGAAGGAAGGAGAGATGACGGTGAAAGACAGTGAGGACAGTGTGAATGAGGACAGGAAAGAAGAAACTGAGACAAGGGAAGAGGACAGTGAGGAAGAGGGAAAGGAGACGGAGGAGGACAGGAAGGACGTGAGCAAAGAGAGACGAGAGACCAGGATTGTAATTGGAAAAGAAGTGGGAGACGAGTGGAAGATAACGGTCACAACCCCGGCCGAAGAGGACAAGATGAACAATGAAGATGAGTAGGACAGGAGGGACGAGAGCTGAAGACATCTGTTGGATGGCCTCGTGTTTTACAGGAGCTTCAGGACTGAACCCACCTGTCCTGGTGTGGTTCTGTTTGAGAGGACAGTGGACCAGAACTTTGGATGGACCTTTACAATCTGACCTGAAGACGATCTGTGGCTGGCTGAGGTGCTGCAGCCGGTTCTGGGTGGTCGGACCTGGATCTTGAAGTGTCCATGTCATGAAATGTCCATTTAGGTTTTTGTGTTAGAAGTTTGGTCAGCATGCTTCTGTGGGCCAGAACAGAACCGGACCCCTTTTAAGAAGTTTGTGTTTTAAAGAACCGGTTTGTGTTAAGGTGTGCAGCCAGTCGGGTCCAGCTTTAGAAGAAGGTTCAGTTTGTGTCTGCAGCTCCAGCACAAGTCGTCTCAGGTCTCTGAGACATTCACAAAGGACAAGCCAGCCGATCATGTTGAGCTTCACTTCCTCACAGTCTCCCAGGGCATGGCTCAGAAGAAGATGTGGGCGGAGCTTCAGCATCCTTCAGAGGTTTGATGTACAGTGACGTGTTTGACCCGTCCACAGTCCTCACCCCACCTGGAGACCAGGTGTGTCCAAAACCAGCCCCATTTGGTGCCGTGAGACGTTCTTCAGTGTTTGACCTCCAGATCTTCCATCCTGAGCTGCTCACAGACATCATGATTCTATGGGTCTGTGCTGATTCTGAAACCTGCAGAACCTGGAAGAGTCCAGTTCTGGACATGAGCCCTTCAGAACAAGGAACGGTCCCGCTGGACGTTCATGTGCAGGTGGGACTTTATTCCAGAAATAATTAAATGTTTTGTTAAATTCTAAATTCAAACCAAGTTTGTGTTTCTTGTATCAGAGGACAGAACCGTCTCTTTCAGGACGAACCCATGTCTGATGATGTCACCGTGAGTCCTGGAAGCTGATTGGCTCCTCCAGACGGTTATTTTTATACCTGCAGTTAAATAAGTGAATAAAGTTTGGTTCAGTCACATGACCTGTTGAGTACTTCCTGTTTAATCTTGAATCATCAGGTCAAGTCAGATTTATTTATCGAGCACATTTAAAACAGAAACTGTCACCAAAGTGCTTAACAAAAACATCACATCATCAAATAAAAAGTAGCAAGATATATTTACAGCACATGGAATAAAAATATAAAACTGAAAACAATTAGAAACAATGAAAAACTAGATCTAAATCTGATCACCCTGTGTTAAATGTCAGTGAGTACAGGTGCGTCAGTGAGAACAGGTGCGTCAGTGAGTACAGGTGCGTCAGTGAGTACAGGTGCGTCAGTGAGTACAGGTGCGTCAGTGAGTACAGGTGTGTCAGGGAGTACAGGTGCGTCAGTGAGTACAGATGTGTCAGTGAGTACAGGTGCGTCAGTGAGTACAGGTGCGTCAGTGAGAACAGGTGCGTCAGTGAGTACAGGTGCGTCAGTGAGTACAGGTGCGTCAGTGAGTACAGGTGTGTCAGGGAGTACAGGTGCGTCAGTGAGTACAGATGTGTCAGTGAGTACAGGTGCGTCAGTGAGTACAGATGTGTCAGTGAGTACAGGTGTGTCTGAGTACAGATGTGTCAGTGAGTACAGGTGCGTCAGGGAGTACAGGTGTGTCTGAGTACAGATGTGTCAGTGAGTACAGATGTGTGAGTACAGATGTGTCAGTGAGTACAGATGTGTGAGTACAGATGTGTCAGTGAGTACAGATGTGTTTTTAGGAGAGATTTAAAAGCAGAGACTGAGGTCGAATGTTGATGGGCAGATTGTTCCAGAGTTTAGGGCCCACGACTGAAAACACTCGATCTCCTCTGAGCTTCACTGGTTTTTGGTACGGCCAAAAGCAACTGGTCTGATGATCTCAAGGCCTGAGAAGGAGTATCAGGATGAAGAAGGTCGGAGAGGTATGATGGTGCGAGGCCGTTAATGCACTTGAATGTCAGCAGAAGAATCTTAAAATCAACTCTGACACGTACAGGAAGCCAGTGAAGGGAGGACAGAACCGGAGTAATGTGCTCAAACCTGTGAGTTCCTGTTAGTAGCCGAGCTGCAGCATTTTGTACGAGCTGGAGACGTGAGAGAGAGACCTGACTGACCCCAGCATGAAGTGAGTTACAGTAGTCCAGCCGGTTGTAATAAATGCATGGACTAGTTTTTAAGGTCAGATCTGGACAGGATGGACTTAAGCTTTGCTATCTGCCTTAGCTGAAAGAAGCTTTTTTTGTAGAACAGAGTTGATCTGTTTATTAAACTTAAAGTCTGAGTCTAACACTACCCCGAGACTGGTAACTGACTGCTTTAGATGAGGCTGAAGGGAGTGCAGGTTTACAGGAGCAGTGGTAGAGCTTGGGTTAAACACAATGACCTCAGTCTTCTGATCATTAAAACTCAAGAAGTTTGCAGCCATCCAAGTCTTGATATCATCAAGACATTTTAACAAAGGGTGGATGGAGGAGGAGCATTATCTACAGAATAAATGATGGACTCCTCCTCCTGTCGTGATGAACAGACTGAAGATTCGTTTCCTTCATCTCCTCAGATGGTCCTTTGTTTATATCAGAGTCTGTTACCATGGCGATGAACTCAGAGTTCATCTCAGGATCAGTAAAGTCAGGTTTAAGTAAGTCTGGGTTCTGTGGAGTCCTCAGTGGTCAACAGTTCTTCAGTTTTACTTTGGGTCTGTGAGTCAGTCTGGACATGGCAGCAGACGGCAGGTAAGTGGTGGCCCCTGAGGGCCCCTCATGTGAAGGAGCCTCAAAGTTTGTTTTGTCTCACTTACAATAAACTTGTGTCCCCTAAGGCCCTGGTTTATCTCAGACACTTTAGGCTCCTTTGATCCTGGTCCATGACTCCCTAGCTTTCTAAAGTCCTTGAGCCTGTGCAGCCTCGGGGGGGTCCCCTAAATTCGTCCATCAACGTTACCCAATTCTTGCTGGTGCTGGGTCCAGCAGTCACTGAGAGAGACGGGACAACCTGAACAGGTCCGAGTCCACAGGGACACCTGGACAGGTCTGAGTTCATCACAGGTACAACTAGGGACAAGTTACCAATCAGCCTAACATGCATGTTTTTAGTTTGTGGGAGGAACCGAGTTGTCTTCTTTCAGCTTTTCTCTCTTCAGGGTCTCCACATTGAGTCCTCCTCCATCTCACTCTGTCCTCTGTGTCCTCTGTCCTCACCCCAACTACCTCCATGTCCTCTCTAACTACATCATATGTCTCCTCTGTCTTTTTCCTGCAGCTGCATTTCTAACATCCTTCTACCAATATACCCACTGTCCCTCCTCTGGACATGTCCAAACCACTGTACCTCCTCTGGACATGTCCAAACCACTGTCCCTCCTCTGGACATGTCCCAACCACTGTCCCTCCTCTGGACATGTCCAAACCACTGTCCCTCCTCT